ACTCATCTTATTCGCAAACCTTCGCCTCTAGTACTCAATGATAACATCATTATAATTAACGAATCACAAACCTCAATAACTCAGCAAGATTATCAATATCGGTAAAACTCAAGAACTTAATAATTTAATCTCAAAAACAAATTCAAGGATAGAATAAAACATGATTGGCATGAGGGAGAAAAAACCAACACTGTGAAAACTTACATACCTAAAGAATCATCTTCTTGAAGAACTTGAATTAATATCTAGGAAGACAAACCTAGCCTTAGAGTTTCTTCAATCTCTTGAACATAGAATTCTAGGTTTGTTTTAAGATAACTAATTTTTGACACGCTTAGGAAAATTTAGATGAACTCTTAAGGCTTTTTAGGACTAAAATACTCCTAAACAAATAAATGAACTCAGAGTAGGAATTATTTTTCACCAGGAAGTGAGGTCCGTGTTGACTCCATAACGCAGAGCCATTGCGGAGCTGCTTCCAGGTTTGAGCGTCGTTAGTAAATTAGTCATAACTCTTTAATTAGAGCTCGGAATAAAGCAGACGCGGCAATTGGAAAGAGGACTCGAAGGTATTTAAATCTCCATTGTTATACCCCGGAAATCCAATTTTGTTAAGTTAAGATCCTCCTAAGGTTGGATTAAGTTGCCCTTAATTGGGTTTGCTCTAAGTGGGGGATGGTGATGGAGTAGTAAGGTTGTAGATATTTTCTATCTTGTCCTTCTATTCTTACTTGAACTTGAATCTAATGAATTCTTAGTAAGCTTCTTCATGAATAGAGTTTTGCATAAATTATAAATTTCATGACCTTTATATGTTTGGTATGTATTGATTGTCATTACCTTTAAGATATTGTGGAGACTCCAAAGTGCATGAAAGAAATTTTTTGATAAAATCCATGTTTCTCATGTTAAATATATATCTTCATATGTTAGTTGTGCATTTGACTTCATGAGATAAGATAACAAGCATGGTAATAATCACTTGTGAGGTGAAATGTTTAGCCTTATAATGAAAAGTTGAGTCTCTTTAAATTGAAATATGTTGAGTCTCTTGAAACCTGTGTGACTTTTATGATTTGGAAAGCCTGATTGTAGGTTCATTCTTGAAAAGTAAAAGCATGTTTAGCTAAGTGATCATGTGTGTGCCTATGATTTTTCTTATTCTTCTCAAAATATGCTTACTGTGAAAGTGAGTAATATGTTGGAAATTGACATTTTGTGAAATTTCTTCCTATATTTTGTGATTTACTTGGTGTGACTTACTATTTAGACTTCACTAGGAAGACGACATGAGCATGCCTTGGTTTCAAAATTGGGAATTTCTCATTTTAAGAGGAAATTGACCTTGTACCTTTCTTAGGTGTGAACTCATGATACATGTAAGTGTGTTGAGGAGAAGGACATTCCTTCATGGACACCACTAAATATGGTATGGTAGAGTATGACCTAATGGCACTAGGTCTAACTAACGAAGAACTTTGTTGACTACATTAACTCAAGTCTATGTGCACTAAGTATGAGTGCCTACTTGTTTTGAGTACTGTTGAAATCGGCCTATGTGTGGCCTTGCAAGAGGATCTCTTAATGAATTGAGGTGTAATGACCATGTTATTATTAGGACAAGGATGGTCCTCCTATGAACATGACAAGAGCCTTGGTGTTTGATGCATTAAAGAGTGAGTGAATAATAGTTTTGCTTGCTTATGTGCATTGAGTTCTAAAATGATTTGATGTTGTTATAAATTTTACGAACTACTCTATGATTCATTGAAGTCCTTGTTGTGATTAACGATCCCTAAGTGTCACTCGAGGATGAATGCTCCCAAGTGGGGGATATTGTAAGACCCTAAAATGAGTTAGGGTTTCTAGAGACTAACATGTTTGTATTGATTTTATAAGGTCCTAAAATGTCTTAAAATATGGTTTAGATGCAGCGTGTAAAATTTGAAGTGATTTGGAAGTCGAACGTCAAGGGACGACCAAAACATTTGACGACTAATCGCCTATGTGCCTCATGTGTCCATGCATCTTTATATACAATATGTAATGAGATTCTGAAATCTTAAAATGAGTTATAATTATGTTTTAATATGTTATATGTAGTTTCGAGAAGTTTGGAGGTCAAACAACCAAGAACGTCGAAGGCGTTTGAAAGATAGCCCTTAAGACGCTCAACGTGTGTCTTGATGTGGCCTAGACTGTTTGGACGAGTTGCAGGTGTTTGTTTTGGGTGAAACTTATGTGGAAGGTCTAAAACTTGTTAAGTTTCGTATTTACATTAGAAATGCCTGGGTACGACTTCTAAAAGTCCTCGCAAAAGGCCCCACAAGAAGGACCCAAGGCTGATCGAGACACTGCCTTGGTAGTGTCAATCGACGGACTAAACGACGGCCAGTTGGTCAACAAATGGCCCATAGGTTAGGTATTTTCGATTTTTCCTTACATTGGTCAGGTACCAAAATTTGGCTAAGGACCAGTCTACGGAAGTCCAAGCACTTCTTGTAGACTCACCTATGGACTGTCGATTGCTCCGTCGATAGTGGCCTACAACTGGTGCTTTGTGCACTTTTTATTTAAGGGTGAATGGGAAATTCACCACATGTACTAACCTGACTATAATAAGCTTATTTATCTAATTTTGGGTGTATATAAGTCATCTAAAACGTGATCAACCCATTCCAAATCCTCTCCCACGAATTGAACCTTTTCCCTCTAAAATATTTTCCCTAGAAACCACCATTGTTGGTGAAGCTCAAGAACAGCTTAGAGATTGGATTTCCATAGATTAATAATCATGATTTAGAGGTTTTAAACTAGACAAAGGTACGGTGATTCTTCATCTCTAGTTATTTTTTCATCTAGAGAGTTAATCTCAATATTTTCGAAAGAGTTTTCATGAACAAAGTTCTCCTTCAATCTAGCCATGGGTTCTTTCATAAATTTATTTCAAAAGCATCATATGAATGTATTGATGATTATATACTGATTTGGATGTGATTCTCAATCCTATTGCATGATGTACCCATTCTCTTTCACAAACTCGATTTTAGTCTATGAATGGCTTTATGATCTAGATCTTATGCATATCAATTTGTGATTCAATTATGTTAATATTCTTATGTATAATGTATAGTATGTATATTTATGGTAATATTTGATGAATTATCCATGTGAATCCATGTATGAAGATTTGAACAAAACAAGCATGTGTTCTATGTGTTCACTATAAGTTCGGATTCATGGTGATTGTTATGAGATTTCAATTGGGTAAATATCATTGTATCTACTTTCTTAAGTTGATAGTAGGAATAAATTGTGGGTATGTAACCTTAGTGATCGAATCAAAGGAAACTTGGTAAGATTGACCTACATGCTTTAACCTATAGATTGATGACTCTCGCATGCTTATTGTGAGATTTAATTACGTTAAAATGATGGTTAGCTACTGCCTATGATGTAATATCATTATGAATTATATGTAATGTATCTAATGTGGATTAATGTATGATAATTTGAATAGGATTAACATATGTAAGTCTATCCTCTATGAAATCCTAATACGAAGCATGTTATAGTGATCTAGAGTTTATTGGCAAATATAGTAGGATCTCATCTAAGCTATGATTTCTTGAAGATACTGCCCTAGATTGGTGGTATTGAAAAAAGATGACTTATAATCCATGCAAGTGAAATTAGTTTATGGTCTATGTCCTTCTACCTTCTAGTATGTTAATGTACTGTACAAGTTGTAATGTGACCTTGTAGTATGTTATGCTTAACTTCATGTATGATTATGGTACCTTAAGCTACTGCCCTATACTTGATTCATTGATAAAAGAGTAGTAATGGTCAATGATGACCAAAGGCTAAATTATTGGTAAGAATTCCTCTACTCTTCTACTTCTATTTCTTTATAGTAATGTTGACAAAGCCTTCTATAGCATTATGTGGTATGGTCCACCTATGGTGGCGGTGTTTACTTTATTGTCAATCTATATATGTGTTGACCATGGCCATGAAGACAAATTGATGAATATATGAACATGTGCTTATAATGATACTATGTGAAGCTTATGCCTACTTTCCAATTCTAGTTGTGATTTAGGTTGTATGGCTATTGTGTAAGCATGTGTATATCCATGTTAGGGTAAAGTATAGGTGCTGACATTTATGATTTAAGATGGTTAATAATTCCTTACCTATGTACCCCTATGTGAATTTATGAATAGCACAAGTTAGGAGTCTTAAGTGTAATATGAAGTTGTCTTGTGGACTATGCTATTGTGTGTTGTGCGGTTTATGCTTGAAAGAGTATTATGGTCTAAGAGGTTGGCTGCCTCGATGTGTTGTTGATAGCCATTAGGTGATCATGTTGACCAATGTACACACACACTCACTTTATATGCAAGCACCTCATTGATGTAAGTGTTGTTGCATTTAACCTTCCTCCCCAAATAACAACATGATCAACTGGATTGAAAGAACCATCCTTTTTTTTCCTTCAGTGCCAACTCCTTATATGTAGAGTAGAACTCCCATACCCAACCTAGAATGTATGATCCTATCGGTTGGTAAATATCTCAAAGTTGTAGAAATTTATGATGTTCCACACCTTAGGGTACCATTGTACCACAGAGTGAGTAGACAACCACTTCTCTTCAAGTATGGTCTTCAAGCCCTCAACCTTTAGTTTGTTCAACAAGTGGGTTCGAGGAGCCTTCTATACTATCTGAGATACAGGTAGACAAGGCATAAGAGTTATCGGGATCTCACTTAGGTTGTGTATAATCTTGAAGCGTAGATATTCTCTTATATCTTAGAAAAGTTGATCATCTTTTGGCTTAGATACAGAGGCTTGAGAACTTTCCCTTGAATGATTTTCACAGCTGGAGGGAATGGGGCATGTAGAGTAAGTACCCTCACTATTGGAGTTTACATGACTTTCAGTGCTGGAGGGAGTGAGGTATGTTAGACGAAGTACCCTCACTATCAAAGCTTACCTTGCAGGTGCTGACACTTTGTGCTACTGGACATTGCCCTTTCCTGCTTCGGAAGATGTTTTGATATGGTGGCTCGGGAAGTTGCAGCCTCCTAATTAATGAGTATCCCTAGTCTTCTTTCGAGGAGGTTGATTTCTTCCCACAATCTTTGGTCTAGTAATTTATGTAAAAAACAAATAAGACACATTAGATTCAATTATGAAAAAATTAAATTGAAGAAAATTGCATAGAAGACTCACTGAATCATTCGGTAAGCCAATGAAAGCTTTTTCACTAGTTGAGTCCATCTTCCCAAATGGGCTCCATCTACCTTAGTTGAGTCCAGGTTCCCAAATTATATATCTCATAAGATGGAAATCTTCTACATTAGCTGAGTCTGGGTTCCTAGAATAAATATCCTTAACCCATAAACTATGTGCCAACATAGGTCTTTACCTAGTTGATCCACCTAAGCTTAGAGCATAGTTCTAGCTTAGGCAAGTAGGATAACCCATTTTCGGTGTGGGGTAAATACCAGATTCCATAGTAAGGCACATGGTCTATGTCGGTTAAGGCTAATATTCCTTTATGATAGTATGAATAGGAATATGAAATATGAACTATAGTTACTCAAGAAGCTTACTTAGTGTGGGTAGGATTACGAAATCTTATTCATGCATTGCACAAGTATGCTTTGAGGGTATTTATGGTAAGTTCCCATTATGATATGATGATATATGAGTTGATTTTTCTTATGACTTATTCTTTTGCATTATATGCATAATGATTCTTTACACTAGTAAATGTCATGCATTCAACAAAATGTTCCTTTTAGCATGTTTCTTGATTTTATGCATGGCTATCGTACTTGGTCCATTTTTATAGTAACCCATATTATTATTCATTGTACTCTAGTGTAGGGTATAGTTCTCAAGGAGGTCCCCATTATGGATAGAGCTTGGAATTGATCATTATCTTTTTCTTGTTTGGTGAGTCCTTACGATTCAAGGATGGATACTATCAATGTAGCTTCATTCTTGTATTTTTACTTTTGGATTATGTAGTTTGGGGCTATGACTCAAGTATTGTATTAGATAGATAATCGAGACAAGTCTATACTTCCGCTTTTTTTATGAAATATTTGGACAAGAAATGTGTTTTTACTCTTGTTTTCCTGATGCTTTATGTTATTATATGCGGAGTGACTTACATAAAGCCTTTTAGGGTTGTTGTTACGTCTAGGGGGTACCCTTGGGTCATGACAAACTTGGTAATCAAGGCACAAGGTTTAGAATGATTCTACAATGATTTCTCATAAGCCACGTCTAGTAGAGTCTTGTTCATGAGTGTGAAGTGTGCCACACTTATGAATGAGTGGCTATAACATGTTTAGTAAATTTCACTTATTGCATTACTCTTATGTTGTGCCTTAGAGTTTAACTCTATAAAGTCCCTCTCCTAAATCTTCTCTTATGTATATAGGATATGAATATAGGAAGGTCTAACAAAAAAATAATGGAGGGTGACGATGTGAACGAATGAGATACTTCTCAAGCTAATCAAGCTAACCAAGCTCTGGTTCATCCCGTGATTAAGAATGTAACCAATGTAGAGTTTAGGTCTACTATCCATATATTGGGTCAATTCTTGATGGCTGAAGCCAACAGAGAAATTGTATCCTCGTTCAATCCTAATGTGAATCCGGATACTTCAAGGGTTAGGGACATTTATAGAATGAAACCTCTCAAGTTTCATCGCTCAAAAGTGGATGAGGATCTGGTTTATTCATGAAGTTTATAAGGTCCTTTATACTACGGGGGTATCTTGGGGAGAGAATAAAATACTCGCCTACTAACTAAATGATGTTTCTCATGTAAAATATGATTTATGAAACAGGGGAAGACATGTAGGAGTGGTCCCGGTCGAATGGGAAACATTAAAACTGACATTTCATGATATATTATTTCCTTTATAATTGAGGGAGGCTAAGGTGGATAATTGATTAGCCTTAGGAAAGGTAACATGAGTATCAAGGTGTACGCCTTGAAATTTACCCAACTATCCAAGTATACTCCATCTATGGTGGCCGACTCGAGGGATGAGATAAGTAGGTTTTTAATGGGTGTGTATGACTTGGTTCACGAAGAATTTCGTACAGAAATTTTCTATTGTGACATAGATATATAAGGGCTCATAATATATGCTTGACAAATCGAGGAGTCAAACTCAAGAAAAAAAATAGAGAGGAAAAAGGGATAGTACCAGTTATGGGAACTTATCCAATGTTAGGTTCGATAGACAGGAGCGACAAAGGTTCAAGCAAATGTTCTTCAACCAAGTCTTATCTGGTTCCCCAATGGTAAACAAGGATAGGGTTTAAACCTTAAACCTTAAAGAGGTAATAGTGGTGGTTCATTTTTCGCTAGGACTAATTGTGTAAATGTTGTAGAAACCATGATGGAAAGTGTCTTGTTGGTACCGATAGGTGTTTTAGTAGTGGGAAGGTTTGCCACAAGATGATAGATTGTCAAACGCTTAAAGTTAAGGAAGATAAAAAAAAAGCTCCTCCATGTGGTTCCAACTCCATTTCTCAAAAGTAAGAAATTTTATGCTATTCATTCCCGAGATAACTGAGAGTGCTCCTCGGATGTGGTGACTGGCATTTTAAAAGTCTTTTCTATTTATGTATATGCCTCGTTAGAATTCTGGTTCTACTTTGTCCTTTGTGACATATTTTGTATCCATGAAGTTTGAAATACTCCCAAAGTGTTAGTGGAACCTTTTTTGGTCTCTACCTCAGTTGGTGACTCGGTAGTGGCTAAAAGTGTTGATAGAAATTGTCTTATTTCCTAATCCCGTAGACTTACTTTGGTGGATTTGGTGGAGTTAGACATAATATACATTTAATTAATTTTGGGTTATGGATTGATTGCATGCTTACTATACCTCTATCAATTGTAGGAATCGGGCGGTTGAATTCCAATTTCCAAATGAGCCTCTCTTAGAATAGAAGGGGGAAATTCAATACCTAGAGGTAAATTTGTTTCATTCCTCAAAGTTAGGAATATGATCTACAAAGGGTGTATTTACCATCTTTTTAGTGTGATGGACATTGAGTCCAAAACCCCTTCTCTAGAGTATATTTTGGTAGTGAATGAGATCCCAAAAGTTTTCCCCGATGATATTCCCGGTATTCCTCCTGAGCGGAATATGTTTTGGCATTGACCTTTTAACTGATATGTAACGTATCTCCATTCCTCCTTATAGAATGGCTCCGTTAGAGTGCAATGAGAGGATAAAAGATTTGTTAGACAAGAGTTTTATCTGACCGAGTATCTCTCCATGGGGTGCTCCGGTGTTGTTTGTTAAAAAAGGATGGGTCTCTTAGGATGTTCATTATTATTATCAATTGAATAAAACGACCATCAAGAATAAATATCACCTTCTAAGAATTGATTATTTGTGACCAACTTTAAGGGGATAACTATTTCTCTAAGATTGATCTTCGTTCGGGTTATCACCAGTTAAGGGTGAGAGGGGTTGATATCTCAGAGACGACTATTAGAACCCTGTATGGTCACTATGAGTTTGTGGTAATGTCATTTTGTTTACTTATGCTCCATCTGCATTTACGAACTTTATAGAGTGTTTAGGTAATACATAGAAATGTCTCTAATTGTGTTTGTCGATGATATTTTGAACTACTCGAAGAGTAAAAATAGACATATGGACTATTTAAGAATAGTGTTGCATGTTCTTAAGGACCCACAACTTTTTGCAATGTTTACAAAGTGTGAATTTTTGTTAAGGTTCATAGATTTCCTTGTTCATATCGTGTCAAGAAAGGGTATTGAGGTAGATCCTAAGAATACAGACGCGGTCAGGAGTTGTCCCAGACCTCTAACTCCTTTTGACATTAGAATCTTTTTGGGTTTGGACAGTTACTATATGACGTTTTTTGAGGGGTTTTCCTTCATTGCTTCTCCGTTGACGGCTTTGACACAAAAGAAGGCTATTTTTGGGTGGTCGGAGGCTTGTGTGGAAAGTTCCCAAGAGTTGAAAGATAGACTTAGATCCGCTCCGGTGTTGACCTTATCAGAAAGTAGGAATGGTTTTGTGGTACTTTATCATGCCTCTAGAGTGTGGTTGGGATGTGTCCTCATGCAAAATGGTAAATTGATTGGATGTGCTTCAAGGCAACTTAAAGTGCATGAAAAAAATTATCTGACCCATGATCTTGAATTAGCGGCAGTTGTGTTTTCCTTGAAAATATGGTTACATAAATTGTATGGGCTCCATGTGAATATTTTCACTAATCACAAGAGTCATCACTATGTGTTTAGGCAAAACGAGTGAATCTTCGACAACTAAGGTGGTTAGAACTTTTGAAGGATTATGACATGATTGTCCTTTACTACCCCGACAAAGCTAATGTTTTAGCAGAAGCACTTAATAGATTATCCATGGGTAGTGTAGCTCATGTGAGAATGAAATAAAGAATAGTTCGTTAGGTGCATAGATTGGCCGGACTAGGTGTCTAACTAGATGATTCCACCAAGGGTGGTATCATGGTCCATAATGGTTAGAAATAGTCGTTTATGGATGTAAAGTCTAAAAAAGAACTTGATCTTAAATTAAATGGGTTCAAAGAGTCGGTGCTTAAGAAGTTCATTGCGGCATTCTCCCAAGGGGGAGATGGAGTAATGAGGTACCAAGGTCGATTATTTGTTTGAGATATTGATGTCTTAAGGGAGAAAATATAAGACAAAATGTATAGTTCTCATATTCTATTCAATCGGGTCTATTCAATCGGGAGACACCAAGATGTATCGTGATTTATGGGAAGTCTATTGGTTGAATGGTATGAAGAGAGATATTGTGGAATTTTTAGCCAACTGCCCTAATTGTCAACAAGTTAAGGTTGAGATGATGAGGATATTTGAAGCGTGTCATTTGTCTCCTGTTTGTGGCCATCATAGTGGTATTTGAACTTCAAAACAGATATTTTTGTGTGGGTATTTTTGTCCTACAATTAACCAATATCTGATAGTTTGGAAAAATCTTGTGATCCTTTTCAAAGAGAAGGGGGTATTTAAAGGAAACAAGAACTCCCGGTGACTCTTATTCTAGTGATTGAAATATTTGATATTTGGGTCCTTCAGTTTATTGGTCCA